GGGACCAGGATATCCCGGAGGGGCAGGAGGGCACACTGCAAGGTGTGGTCGTGGCATGCCTAGGAAGAAGAAAAGCACTGTTAGCAGGCAGAGAGAGGCTCTCCCCAGACAGACAGTGCAGGGAGCTGGTGCACCCATGCACCCAAAGGACCCCTCCCTGTCTGCCTCTCCCTCACAGATGACATCCCACGCCCCTCTGGTATGCAGGGAATTCCCCCCCAGGTGCCTGTGGCCATGGCCCTGAGCTCCTCTTTGAGCTCCTCTCTGAGCCCTGATGGCTGTGTGGTACCCACAGCCCTGTCTGGCCCCACGGTCCCTCACCTTGGTTGGGGTCACACATCCTCAGTGGTCTCCGAGCTGCAAGGGAAGGACAAGCACCGTCAGTCACCTCCTGCCACAGGGACGTCATTGCCTGACCCCGAGCTGGGACCTGACTCCTCTGTCCCACAACATCTGCCCTGGGAGCAGAGACCGCACTCGCTTCCCCAGGACTGCCATCCCATCCCCCTGCACACCCCGACAGCCCCCCCGTCCCTTTGGGGGACAGCACCGACCTCATGGACCACAAGGACTGGGGACACGTGTCTGGTGCAGCACCACCCATGGGGACAGAGTGCCCTGACCCACGGGTGCCCCCAGTCCCGCTGCCCCCGCGCTCCCCACTGCCCTGCACTCACCAAACTTGCCCAAAAGCTCCTGGCGGCCCTGGCAGCACTCCCGATCACCGTCCTTGGCGCGGCTCTCCCGCGGTGTCGGGCACCTGTTAAATACCAGGACCCTGCCCAGGTGAGGAGGGGTGGGGTGGGCAGAGGTGACACCGCCGAGCAGTGAAACCGGCACCACCCTGCGCCAGCGCTGTCACCATGGGCACCCGAGAAAAGTCAACACGCCGCTCCCAACCGGCACAAAGGTCCCACAGGGCTAATAAAAACAGACGGCGGAGGGCGGTGATTTCGGCTCCCGGCGTCAGCTGATGGAGTGAGTCAGGCGGCCCCACCGTGAACCCGCTCTCGGTGCTCCCAGCAGAGTGCCCAGGGACAGGGGGGACCCTCCCACAGATTTACTGGGGTTCAGCGGGGTTCAGGGAGGAGGGCGGAGGAGACGACATCTGCCATCACACCCGGTCAGCAGGACAGGAGGCAGGGCTGGCTGCCCTAATCTTCTGATCTTCTTCTTAAGGGATGTATGGGGAGGGAGTTTTTCCCCGTCTCATCCCATCCCAACCCATCCCATTCCTATCTCCCTGCTAACACCCCCGATGGTGCCTCGTGCTTGGCAGTGCTCCCTGTCGGCTGCTGCAGCACAGCTTCTCTCCTCAGAGGGCAGCAGGTGAGCCAGAGGCAGTGAAAGCTGGCATGGGGATGGGGGAGGGAATTTACCATTCCAGTTTGGACACAAAACCTGCTCCCACTGACCTGGTGTTCCACAAGTGGCCTGGAGCAGCCACTGCTCCCAAAAACAAGCAAAATGCAAGGTGCATGTAGCAGGATCACCCCGTCCATGTAGGGATGGGCACCGTGATACAAAGTAGGACGGGGGTCCCTGCTCAAAAAACTGCTCCTGGGGGTGAAAAGGAGACAGGGAGTCCAGACCCAGTGAACTGACCACCTGCATGGAGCAGCACCGCTGCATCAGCTCCATCAGGAAAAAAGTCCTGCTGCAGCCTCAGGGGACATAGGACAAGACTCAACTGCAACCAGAGAGGCACTGCAGGAATGAAATCCCCCTGCCCCAACACACACAGTGCACAACAGCTCTGCAAGAAGGACAAGCAAGGCTGCACTGGCAGCAAATCTGGGTGAGATGAGCTGTGCCAAATTTCGCTACAGCTGGGGACAGAGTGCCTGGAGAGCAGCCAGCCAGGAAAGGATCTGGGAGTCTGGATTGACAGGAAGCTGAACGTGAGCCAGCAGTGTGCCCAGGTGACCAAGGCCAATGGATCCTGGCCTGGATCAGGCAGAGTGTGGCAGCAGGAGCAGGGAAGTGATTCTTCCCCTGGATTCAGCACTGGTGAGGCCACCCCTGGAGTGCTGTGTCTAGCTCTGGGCCCCTCAGTTCAGGAAGGATGTCGAGGTGCTGGAGCAGGGGCAGAGAAGAGTAACAAGGCTGGGGAAGGGACTGGAGCACAAGTCCTATGAGGAGAGGCTGAGGGATCTGGGGTTGTTTAGCCTGGAGAAGAGGAGGCTCAGGGGAGAGACCTCATCACTCTCTACAACTCCCTGACAGGAGGTCGTAGCCAGGTGGGTGTTGTTCTCTTTACCCAGGCAACTATCAGTAAGACAAGAAGGCACGGTCTTAAGCTCTGCCAGAGGAGGTTCAGGTTAGTTATCGGGAAGAAATACTTTGCAGAGAAGGTAATCAGGCATTGGAATGGGCTGCCCAGGGAAGTGGTGGATTCTCCATCCCTGGAGGTTTTTAAGAAGAGACTTTAAGAAGACGTGGCACTTAGTGCCATGCTCTAGTAGCTGCAGTGGTGTTGGATCAAGGGCTGGACTTGATGATCTCAGAGGTCCTTTCCAACCTGGCTGATTCTGTGATTCGGGAGGTTCTCTCTGCCATGGTGAGATTTTTCCCAGCAATTACTACCCTGGTGTCAAGGATGGCAGCCCACATAATTATGGTGTCTCCAGCCAGCCCTTCTACTACAGCTGGGAAAGCTGGAATTGTAAGGACTTTTATGGGCAGTGGGATCCACGTTAGCAGCCGGTACCATCGCCCAGGAAAAAACACACGGACACCAGCAGATTGTAAACCAGCACATGATGATTTCCAGCAGGCCCTCCCAAAAGGCAGACCATGGAGATGCTCTCCGTTGACTTAAGGGATTCCAGGACAAAACATTTACAATGTAAACACAAGAAAATCGATCAGCAGGCAAAGCGCTGCTCTAAGGGAAAGGGGAAGGGAGTAGAGCTGCACGCAGGGAGTTCCCACGAGGTGTTTGGCTTCGTGTTTTGCTGAAGGTGGGAGATGCCAGATGTTCAGTCAGAGCCGCTGCTTGAGCCACCACAGTGCTGGAGGAGAGAAAACAACACTTGGACACCAGCAAAAAGACCCTCTTTCACAGCATTCCTGAGAGGTGTTAGTGACCCTGTCGTGGGTGAGGCCTGGGGAGCAGTTTCTTAATTTCTTTCGAGGCTCTCTAGGTCAATAAAGAAAATTCCAGAAGGGTCCTGCTCTCTGCCAGCAAGGAGAAACATCAGAGCAGATCACTCGCAGAGCTGCTACCCTATGAAAGGAGCTGATGGCTTGATTTGTTTGGGAAATGTGCCCACCTCCAATGCTGGAACTGGGAGTGTGTTTAGTAGTCCCTCACTCAGACCTGCTCTGGATGGTGCCTATCTCTATAATAGCATTTTCTGCAGAATCTACTCCCAGCACAGGGAATTGCTTCTTCTCTTTTGATTTTGTTTTCTTGTTTTTGTTTTCATTTCTTTGCTTTTTGAGTGTTTTGTTTGTTTGTTTGTTTGGGTTTGTTTGTTTGGGGTTTTTTAAGAAGGAACTGAACAATTCCTCTGGAAAGACACTGAGTGATTGTCCATTATAGAGGCACGACTCACTCTCAGATGAGCAGGACAAGCCCCGTGATTTAATGCACTTACACGGTACCCCCTGAGCCACATCACCGCTTTAAATGACTTCAAGGAATTTCATGGGTTGCTTTTCAAATTACTCACTTAATAAGGTTTGTTCTTGCCTATTTATTAATACAACAGGAGTTTCTATTTCTAAAAAAAAGCCACTGAGGTTTTCGCAGTCTGCTCCAGCCACCGCAGGGTGGGAGAGTAGAGTCCCACCTGTCCAGGCTGGATGCTGTGGTGTGGGGAAAGGGGGCCTGAAGGACCACAGCAGAAACTCAGAAGGGCCTATTGCCACCTCACTCTTACCTTGTCTCCACGGTGCTTGGAGTGCTTCTAGTGATGGTGCTTCTGATGGCAGTCAGGTGGTCCTGGATGGGGGTGCCCATGGGGATGATGCCCCGAGGGGGGGTGCCCATGGGGATGATGCCCGTGGGGATGATGCCCATGGGGGTGATGCCCGTGGCCACCTGGAGGCGGGCACGGGGGGCAGACTGCAGGGCCACCAGGGCAGGGAGCTGTGCCGGGACCAGGATATCCCGGAGGGGCAGGAGGGCACACTGCAAGGTGTGGTCGTGGCATGCCTAGGAAGAAGAAAAGCACTGTTAGCAGGCAGAGAGAGGCTCTCCCCAGACAGACAGTGCAGGGAGCTGGTGCACCCATGCACCCAAAGGACCCCTCCCTGTCTGCCTCTCCCTCAC